GACTTATACTGCAGCAGAACAGGCTTCTGTTGTGCAGCTCGCATGTTCTGCAAGCACCAAAATGCTTTTCAAAGGCAGGATGAGTTGCTGTGAGACTGATGATTAAACCCAAGTATTACTCTGTTAAAAATCATTAAATTTTGTTTTCTAATGACATTGCTGCTTAAGATACTTCAGCTGCAGTTTTCTTTATTTCCTTCCAGCTTAAGAGGGAACTTATTTTCTTAGCTTGTGAGCTTGGATATTCCTGAAAACAAATGTAGGAGAAATTATGCTGGTGTTAAGATCTTATTTTCCATGTCTTCTTCCAAGTGTTTTCTGTTGGTGGTGTTTTTTTGTTTTGTTTTTGTTTGTTTGTTTTCTTTTCTTTTGAATGGAGATTTAACATGCCCCAGTGTATGCATGTGCTGGTTTGGGGTTTTTTTTTAAGGTAGGCTTAACTGAACTTTCTTATGGATGAGGAACAGATCAGTGGCATTCTTTCAGAGCAAGATACAGGCTGAAGGGGAAGGTGATTGTCAGCTGTATGCAAGAATGCATTTTAGCGGTTATACTTTTTAAATTTGTTGTGACAAAAGCCTCCCTGTATTTCAAGGTCTTAGATGTATTGAGCAACAGGGAGGAACCTGGGGAGGCAGTTCAAATTAACTAGACATGTTAGAATTTTTTTCCTCTGGGCTTTAAGTTGTTGCTTGAGAGATATTTATGTTAGAAATTCCTTCCCTGACAGGTACGTTTACTGTATGTGATGGTAAAGAGAGATGCCCCTGCAAGCTCTGGCATTTCATCTTCCACACAGAGCAGAGGCATGGGAGCCCAATGTGCTGATTCCTAGGCCTGAAAAATGTTTGTTTGTCGATACCCTGCAGTTACTGTCTTCTGGACACAAGGCTGCAGGGGAGTCTCTACAGTGATGTAGGTGTCTGCTGTTTTGTGGATGCAGAAACTAGGGTATGTTCAAGTGACACAAGCTGGTGGAAAGCAGAATGTGAAATGCTGTCTTTAATTTGCACACTCTGATTTCAAGACATATCTTTTAATGCCATTACTTACTACTAAACATTATGGGACTTTGGTCTGCTTACAGGCACAGTTCTGAAAAGCTCTACCAAACTTTCCTGCTCTAGTTTTAGGATATTGCTGTGCCACTAAAGCAACAGATGAAAATGACAGCATCCTGTGACTTAGACAAACTGAACTTAAATTCCCTTTAATTCCCTTAAACTTTCAAAGGAAGTAGGCTTTGAATAAAGGCACTTTTTTGCAGACTTATGTGCAGTTACAAGTATCTTTCTGCTGCTTCTGCCTACTTCAGAAGGGGTAGAGAGGAACGACCTCCCACCTGAGTGGCAGTGCAGTCTGTCACAACTCCAGTGTTGAGTTTGGCAGGTCTCAGTCGAAGATACTTACTGTAATGTTTTACCAGGAGCAAATTATGTAGCTCCATATTTTTACGGTGGTAAAGAAATTAACCAAAATGGGGAAATTTCTAACTTGATCTTGGTTGTATAGCTGCTGCTGCTGATGCCATCAGGTATCATCAAGCTCCAGTTCCTCCAAAAATCATCCAGGAGGCAATTCAAGCCCATATCTTGCAAGGGATGGCTTTTTTTTTCTGGGTGACAGACCTAAGTTTTGTTGTTTGGTGGGTGGGTGGTTGGTTTTATTAGGACTTGGCTAAGAATTTCAGTTCATCTTGTCCTGGTACAGATTTTAGAGGGTATGTCTTCAAACCAGAATTAGTTTGGGAAGTCCCCACTACAGAGCCCTACTTGTGTCAGACTGGAGCTAATGCTGTGATAGCTTAGGTGGCACACCAAGCAGGCAAGATGCTCTTTGTTTTATTTACATGGTCTTTTCAACTGGACTATTGGTCTGTCCCAGCAAGTAAGTATCTGCACTAGAGTAACCACAGTCTGTGTTTTGGTCTGTCTTATTTCTGCTCATGATAACAAGTGCATCACCATGTACCAGTGTCTCCTGAGATATTTTACTACCTGCTGCCTCTCAGACCTTGTGAGATAGGTTGCCACGCTTTCAGGCAGAGAACTAATCTGTTCAAAAGGAGAGGAAAAAAAGCAACACAAGAATTTTTCACTCCTTGCCTTACCAAAGGATCCACTTTATGTAGCATTACACACTAATGTTTAGATAGCCTGCTTTGTTTTCTTTTGGAGATGTTCAAAGAGGACTTCAGTGTTGTTGTGAAATGTGGGAGATGTGGATGAACAGCTGACTAGAAGTTCAAAAGCTGTTGTATAGAATGAAAGCTGTTTTATTTTCCAAGTGCCAAGAATCAGTTTTGTTTTATTTAGATGAAACCAGATTATGGCACTGAAATCCCATGTGTATTAACATTCTGACATAAAGCAAGTTGGGAAGGAATGTTACAGTTGAACTAATGGGTAATTATACAAATAGTCTTGCAGAGTTTTTTTTTTTTTTAGGACTCCAGGAATGTTTTGTGATACAGTGGATTTGGGTAGTTTTATTCTGAGGGGAAAATAGAGCAGTGAATTACTTAGGAATGAAGATACTAAACATGGGGTTTTCTTCACCTGGAAGCATGCTTAAAATTGATTAAATTTTTCCTTCAAGCATTTAATCTTCATCTTTGAGGCACTGACATGGTACCTCTGTCATTCTCCTTAGGGCTTGTTGTAAAACTCTATTCAAACCTTTGTGGTGCCTACATAGTGGGTAATGCTATGGAGGAACAGCATCCCTCTTTTGTTGAGGTCCTGCTTTGTCCTGTTGTTCACTTGAAGCAGCAAGAAAGAAGGGCCAGTGGTTGCTGAATAGGAGCTTGTGATTAATTTGAGCGTCAGGCTTTTCAAACCCTGAGCCTTTCACTGTCATAGCTGACAATCATGTACTGCTTCTGTGCTGCTTAAACTCTACCATGCCCCCCCCCCAAAAAAAAAAATAAATCCTTGTTCTGCACATCTGGGGAAAAAAAATTGGAATCTGTTGTTATTGAGGGAAAAAAAAAACAACAAAATTGAATTACTATGTAAGGAAGATGTACTTTTTCTGCTTAGGCATTTCAAATTTTACTCTGTGGCACATTCAAACAGTGATTTATAAAAGGTCTGGAATTAAAAAAGAAAATCTTTTCAGCCTTTCTCTACAAAGGTAAACATATAAAACAACTGAAATACAGTTAAAGAGGAGAAGAAAAAAAAAACGCTACCTTATCCTTGCATCTCAGAATGGAGTACCTGTGTTTGCACTAACACACATTATTCCCCTGTGAACATACTAAGGTCTGCCTAGGGACTTACCTTATCTGCAACTCTTTTAATTCCAGGTAATTGATGACCCTGTCTGAGATTATTTCAGACTTTACTGCGTATAGCATTTAAAGTAAATTGCTATAAGGGGTGGGAAGGTGGTTGCGCGACATTACCCTGGGGAAAAAGGAAGGTTGTTGGGATGAGAGAGTTATTCTTAGGAGTAGGCATTAGTGCAACTGTGAAGACAAAAATCCAAAACAAAACACAGTGAAGGCATCTTGGGGAACAGCTGTAGAGTTTCTCTTTATTTGAACTGGGCCCTGGGAGATCCCTTTTGGGAAGGAAAGTGTTAAGACTTGTTATCCTATTTTTGTGAAAGTAATCTTTCAAAATGAACTGCAGGAGAAGTCACGTTTAGCATGTCCGCTTTGGTTACCTATTAAAAATACGTATCTTGTTTGGCAGATTTTTTGCACTCTAATAACTTCTGTTGGTGTGATATGATGTGTTAGACTTACAGTGATGGACCTGCATTCTCTATTCCTCTTTTTTCCTGCTATTAAATTCTTTGTGCTGCACTCTTCTGAAGATTGCACAGATACCAGCTTAAATTTTCTATGGTTCTATGTATTGCATATTTCTAGATGGGTGACAAAAAAGAGATATGAACAAATTTCTACAGTGATGATTAATTTACTATGGGTTTTGTATGTAGTGGACAAAGCCGCATCTGCAGAGGATGCTGTAACAGATGAGACCCCCATGCACTGAGCAGTACAAGGACATGTATCTCCTGATGCAAAAGTAAATTACTCTTTTCAGTGCCCCCGATTGCACTTTGCTAAGACAATTTTTTGCTTCCCTGATGGACACTGAGCCACGTTGTTCCCCAGAAGTATTTTGTTACTAAGGCTTAAACGATTGAAATCCTCCTTCCATACATTGAAGAGTTTAGTGTTTTCTTTCAGTAAGAATGTAGGAAGAGCTTCAAGCTGTTCTTTAAAATTGTCGCCACAGGATGGGGCTGTTGCACTGCCCAAATACAATCTGTCACTTGGAATAGCTGCAGCCAAGCACTGTTTTCAGTGCTGACCTGAAACTACCCTCCTGTCGCGTTTCTCCATTATTCACCAGTCCGTGTAGTGCAGCCTCAGTTTATCCACTTCCAAGAGGTAGGAAATTTGGAGTAAGGTGTCATTGGCTTTCTGAGTGTAGATCAACTTTGTTTCTTTTAGAGGCAGCTTTGCACCATATGACAAGTCCAGGTAGTGAGGTAATAATCCACATAAAGGGGATTTGGTTCAAGTATTGCAGAATATGTTAAATATTAAATTTGGGGGGCTTTAAACCTTTATTAAATCCATATTTGTGTTTCAGAAATGTGCCAAGAAGTGTTCTAATGAAGCAGCACCTGAGGGTTAATAAATGATATCATGAATCCATTCTGATTGCCAAGAAAGATTTTAATAAAGGAAGCCATGCCCAGGGTTGACTTTCATCCATGAGGAATAATTGTTTTGTTTCCATATTTCTTTCATTGATTGGTTAAAGCAAGTTTGCTTATTAGCATCAAGTCATGTATGATTGACCTGCATATTTCTGTGTACTACTTACGTAGAGGTAGCCCTCAGTAGGTCTGCTAATGCAAACTGTAAGAGTGTGAGACGTGTCACTTTGATTGCATGAAGAGCTTCCATCTTTTGCTGCCTTTCACATTCACCTCATCTCCCTCTGTTCCCTCTCCTCCTCCCCTCAAACATTCAGGGTGAAGTGAAGTCTGAAGAGGGGCCAGAATGGAATATACTGCGAGATGACTTCATGATGGGAGCATCTATGAAAGACTGGGACAAGGAAAGCGATGGAGAGGGCAATACTGAACAAGGAGGTGGTCTGAAACAAGAAGATGAGAGTGACTGAATGAAACTGAAAACCATTCAAGATAATGTTTTATCTTAACATTGTTTGCATAAAAAGTCAACATTCTGTGAATGTGCAACACTTGGAAGATAACTCTTTTTCTAAAAAGAAAAAAAAAAAACAAACTTGCACAACTTTGGAGTGTTCTCTCCTCCATGTCAAACTTTTATTTAATGTAGTTTCATTTGCTATACTGAAATCCTGAAATATTTTCCAAAACATGTATAATTTTCAACATATTTCCAAAACATTTTGTACAGTCAAAATAGTGGCACCTGCCCAATGAAAGAAAAATTTTGCCAAGGTCATTAAAAGTTTATACATTAGTCATGGCAATTGATGTATTAGTGTGCCTGCATTTCCAAATCAGTGTTGCACTTTTCAAAATTAGCAATTCGCATTAGAAATGGCTTACAATAAACACAGAAATGCCATTACCTTGTAAAGTTACTAGATTCCTATAGAGTCTTTACTGCTTTGGCCAGGAAAGGTTTTGTAGATAATAAAGTAACAATTAATGTGATAGTTCTGGTCTTGGAGCATTAGTTTGATTGGAGACAACTCTGGAAACGTAGTTGTAAAGGGAGAAACTTGACCTTCCTGATTGGCTTTTATATATTTATATATATGTATGTATGTGTGTATGTGTTTTCCGTGGTAAGTCTGAAATTGTATAAGCTAAGAGACTGGTAGGAGAGGAGAGGACAGTCCTTGCTATTGTTTTTGTTGGAGGAGGGAGGGCTTTTCTAGCAATACCACATAAAATTGTGTTCAGTGTTGCTCCATTTGCAGTTCTGGTGTTTTGGCCTTCTTCAGTAAGTAGCCGGACCCCCGAGATACATCCTGTGGGTTTAGTCAGCTATAATATTAATTCCTCAGGTCTGTAAAGGGTCAAACAAAAGCCCTTCCTCTTAGGTGTGTACTGTAACAGTACCAAATTCTGGAAAACTTATGTCAATGTAGTTTTATTTAATTTAAGCTACAGCAATTTCTCCTTATTGTATGGATGCAAAAGCACAGAAGGTAACGTGCACAATGAGAATATATTCTATATAAGTATATGCATAGAGAAGGAAGATGAGAGCCTGTGGTTGAATTCTGCTGCCTTCGCTGTTCCAGACCGACTGGCTGATGCTGTGTCATTTGTTTAACTTTGCTATCACATTTCCCTATTTGCTATGTGAAGAAACTGCCTTTGGGCCTATTAACTGATACTTAAAATACATAGTATTGTTCTGTCTGTTTCTACAGATGTCTTGTGTACAAATCTTTCTTTGTCCCTCCTTATACTGAAGATGTGATTAGGAACAGCTTTCAAATTTTTAGTCTTCAGCATTGAAATATATGGTAGGACAGTAGATACAGATTTTCCTAATGAAGGCATTGAGGAGGGTAGTGGGGATTGAACTTTGTGTATACTGCAGGATTGAAAAATATACATACAGAATGGGAGAGAAACCCATCCTAACAACTGGCAACGGTTGTGTTATCTCTCGCCTATTCATCTGGTATATATTGTAGCATAATTCTTTGAGGAGAACTCCAAGCTAACAGCAGAAATGTTTAGATTTTCAAGCTGTTTTGAGTGTTAAACATATTAGATATCTGAGGAGACATTAGTTTGTGGCCTGATATTTATTATCACAAATGAAGGCATACACCCAAAATATCAAGTGGCAAAACCACAGAAGTTTGACATACGGTTATCCTGGCTTCTGAAGGTTAGACATCTGTATAGCTGTTCAGCGAGAGTTGGCATCTCATTAGTGCAATACAGAAAGATACTACAATGAATTTTGAGTCTATGAAGCAGCATAATATTCTAATCTAACATTGCTTTCTTTCAGCAGAAAAACTACATCAGCACCCTTAAATCTGCAGTTGTTCTCTAGTTTACTATTACCAGTCTCTGTCTCAAGCTTTTGGAAAATAATCTACTTTTTCTTAGGAACTACGACATCCTGAAGTGATTATTAAAAATTTCAAAATATTTTCAGAATACTTCTAGAATACTTGGGTGTTTGAGATTTATTTGTGCATTTTTGAAATAATGGTTTGATTAAAGCACTGAAGTATTGTGTATTTTAAGAAAAATGTGCAATATATAGCTATTGCTTAAAATATCTTGAGCTTTCATTTCATTTAAAGCGCAGAGCAGTACTTTTTACCTGTAAGTGGAGAGCATTTCTTGCCTTTTAAGAAGCATAATCCTCAGATTTTTATGTGTATTGGATAGTTTTTAGTTTTGATACTGTACATTGCCTTGTCCTTTGGTTGTGCCACATGCAGAGAAGCTCCTAGAATTACTTAAATTAGTAACTACCTCCAAAAGAGAAAATAAGCTCAGGACTCTTATGGGAGGTGGGAGTGGTATATTTTAATTTTCAAAAGAAGAGCTAAACCCTGTTTGGCCCAGACACCTTCCAGTCTCCCCTCTCAGCTGTGCCATCAGCTGCCCTACCCCCTTTTTCAGTAATGTTCTTCCTTTCTGATAGCTACCAGGAACAACCTTCAGCGGCTTTTCCCAGCCACCAGAGTACTTGGTCTGTTTTGCCTGCTCCCATGAATATCTCTGCTTAAGCAAAGCTGTGCTGCTGCCCTTCATTCCAGAGAGCATGAATCATCTCAATTTTGTGTATTTCTGTACCTATCTATATAAAGCCAATAAGGATGGGGTGGTTCCAGTTTTGTTAGGCTTCAAGCCAACTCCAGAGTATGTGGAGTTTAATATTCTATGGACCTCATGCAAAGCAACACAGTATTCTTTAGTAAGAGAAGGCAGGGAATCAGCTCTTCCCCATGTCTCTTGTCTTCTGGTCTAATTTCTCTTCACATTAATAGTGTTAACTTTCTCTGCAAGGAAAGCATGACTTAGCCTAGGAAAAAAAATATAAAAAAAAACCAACTGTCTTCTTTCTGCCTTTCTTCAGTCTGTTAGGGAAACACTTTGGGAATGGTGGTGGAATATACTTGTGCTTGATGCTACTACACCACAGCATCTTCCTTCCCTGCTAAAACATGGAAGGAAGAGCTCCCACTTACGCAGCTGTGAGGCAGCTCCTCTCCTGGGTTCATGAAAGAGCTGGAAGCTGCTTCCTAGAAGAGATATGGCACTTTTTTGTGTGTGTTTTGTTTTAAAGAGAGAAATGCATTGTTTGGAAGCCATAAAAGTGTTTTGACTATCTGATGCTTCCAGAAGAAGGTGGTTTGTAAAGCCCTGTCTGTTCAGAGCTGGCTCAGTAGCTGTGTCCAGGGAGGAAGGCAGAAGTCATCTGGCACACAACATTCTGCACAACTTAAAATGACAAACTCCTTATTCTTATGAAATGAGTCCTGGCATAGTTAATATCCACACAGAGCAGTCATCAGTGTTGTTCACTTCCAACCCCTGCACATTGCTCAATGATTTCTTCAAGACTTGCTGAGTTAAGGAGTAAGAGGGCCAGGAGAAGACTTGAGGTAGTGAAGACTCTTAGGATCTTGTGAAATAGAAAGGATCCGAGTGCTAAATAAGACGTTAAACTTAGACTCTAGGACCTCAGTGGCAGATACTGGAGACTGGACAAGTTCTTGGTTAACAGATGGTGGAAGACTGTTGATTTCATTTACCATGCTGAAGCGCTGGCTTTTAACCTCTTGTCAGTATGTAAACCACAAAGGTTTCACCTCTGTAGATGATATAGCAAAGAAAGGCTTTTCCTTAATCATTCTTTTTCAAACTGAGATGGCTGAGATTTCTTAGAAAAAACATTTTGTTTTCATATGCATTTCTTTAATTGCTTTTCTGTCTTAAGGGACATGTTGAAATAAAACTCCAGTCAAACTGAACAGTTTCAACACCGAAGATGGTTATGCTTGTGTAACGCTTCATCATTTGGAATGATTTCTTTTTGTTGAAATCCATGTGTTTAATCTGTTGGATACCAAATTCTAAAATAAATGAGGACACTTTCGTCAAGCCTTCAGATGTGACCTCATAAGCATAAATGGCTTCCAAGAGGCACATTTTGGAAGGTGATTTTAGGAATACTCATAAAAAGCATTATTTCTTCACAGTTCCTCAGCCGTTTCAATAGCCCATTTTTTCATGCCAGAGAGTGAACTTTTTGAGCATTATTTTGCAACATTTTCATAGTGTTTCTTAATTCTATTTCAGTATATGTGTTGTTAATTGTGAACTGCTAACCAGGATCAGACTTGCATTGAGGTTTGATACCACTAGGATTTTTTACTGACATAAGTGCTCTCAGAAGTAGCTAAATAATTATTAGAAATAGTTTACTTAAAAGATACTCTGGTTACACTTCTTATCAGAAACTTAATGCATAGTTTAGAAATGGTTAAATATACAACTTGCTGATGTTAGGTACTAACCAGATCTTTAAATTGTGTTTATTTTAGGCATGTGTGATCAGAAATAGAAGGTAACAGAAGGTTGTTTGCTATATTTTAAAAACCTGTTTGAATATTGAAGTACTTCAAGATTCCACTAGCCATTTATGAGCCCTTTATAAACTTCATTATGAATGTAATTTTGGAGGTTGTGACTGAGAACCTGTAGCTATTCAGTCACTTTGTTATGTTAACTTTGTTTTGCTATCCCAATAAAGGAGAACATTCCCATCTTGTTCAGAACAGAACTATGTGCAAGTGTTGCTTGATCTGAGCAAAATGGTAGTGAAAAGCTTTCTTGATAATGTGGATATTTGCATTGAATTTCAGGTTGTGTATGGTTTATCCAAAGAGGATTTTCTTTGGACTTTCAAGTGGTCCATAAATTGTAGCATTTGTGGGCAATGATGTAATAGAAGAGTAGGATGTTGCAGGTAGAAATAAAAGTATGGATAGTCCTGGGCTTCATTCCCAACACTGCCAATTGCAGAGATTTCGAAAAGTTTGCTTTTGAAGCACCCTTATAGATAGGGTACCTATGTCTGCATCTATCTCAGGAAAGGTGCCTGAAGTCAGGCAGCTGAGAGAAAACTGTTGCTAGAGGGCTGAGCACCTGTGCTTACTGCTTTTTCAATTCAGATTTTGCCTTACCTGCCTGTAGCATCCATACAGTCACGACCTCACAGTGCTTCTTAGAGATGAAGAGTGATCGAAACCTCATCCTTTCCACTATTGTGTAGGCCTACTTCCTCTGCTACTCTCCCAATGAGTTTCAAAGGAGCTTATGGTTCTTAAGGATATTGCACAGCTACATGTTGGTAACAGTAGTGTAGTTTTGTATACAGTTGATTTTTAGGTGAGTGAAATAGTTGATAGTACCAGCTGAAATCTTATGTGCTTATTAAAGAAATACCTATTTTATTAAGAAAAGGC